AAATTTTTTTCTTTCAGGGTTTTATATACACCATCCCATTGCCTTCTTGCCTACATGGTTTCTGCTGAGAAGTCAGAGCTTAGTCTTATTGGTTGCCCTTTGTAAGTAACTTTTTGTGTTTCCTGTACTGCTTTCAGGATTCTTTCTTTATCTTTGGTTTTGGTGAGTTTGATAATATGCCTTGGTGATTTTCTCTTGTGGTCTATCCTGTTTGGGGTTCATTGGACTTCTTGAATGGATATATTTTCATCTTTCATTGTATCAGGAAATTCTCTTACAACAAATTTTTGACTATTTTCTCTGTGGTTTTATTTGTCTCTTCCTGTTCTGGAATTCCGATTACATTTAGATTCCTTTTGATGGTATCCCTCATGAAGCTTAGGCTTTCTTCATTTTGTTTTGATCTTTTTTTTTCTGATTGATCCCTTTCTAAAGAAGTATTGAGGTTTGTCTTCAATCTCACTAATTCTGTCTTCCATTGATTCAATTCTACTCCTTTGCCCTTTCAATGTTTTATCTATTTCTAAGAATTTATTATTAATCTTCTGGATTTCTATCTGTAGATTTTGTATCATTTCTAATTTTTTCATTTATTTTCTCATTTTGTTCTTCTATTGTCTATTTCCATAGTGATACCACCTCGGACACCCAAGGAGGGCTTGCTATGAGTTGGGTCTGATTCCATGGCACATAACAACAACAACGACATTGTCTTCCAAAATTGTTCTAGGATTTTCTTTGTGTTTTCCTCAATTTTGTCAGTGTTTTCCTTGATCTGTCTCTGAATTCATTGAAGATACCTAAATATAATTATTTTGAATTCTTATCAGGAAGTTCCAATGCTCCTTCTTCCTCAGGGATGTGTTCTGGGTCTGTATCCTGGTCCCTTGTTTCTAATGCTTTATTTTGTTTCTTTGTGTGGACTGTGATGGTCTGTTGTCTTCAAGACATTGTGATGTTTATGTGTTTATATTTAATTGGTGATTGGAATTTGGAGTGATTCACTCAAGATTTTCTTTTTCTTTTTTTATGTATCTGAATAAACCGGTATTGTGCTCCTCTGTTCACTAGTTGGCAGCAGTTATGCACTCACCACCTGTCTCCTTTTCAGTCACCAGCCTCCCATATGCCCATGGTGTCTTTTGAAGTGGAGCCTATTCTTAAAACCAAACCAAACTCACTGCTGTGAAGTTGGATCTAACTCATAGCGACTCCTCCTTGGGTTTCTGAGGCAGTATCACTACAGAAGTAGATTGCCCAATCTTCCTTTCAAGGAATAACTGGTGGGTTTGAACCACCAGCCTTCTGGTTAGCAGTCAAGTGCCTTAGGCACTAGGCCACCAGAGCTCCTGGGGCCTATTCTTAGGTCCCTGGAATCTGAACGAGAATGCTGTCACTTTAAATATCCAAAATGGCCACCACTTCTAAACATTCAAAATGGCTATACCCTCCAGACAGCTGAAAGTCCACAGTTTAGTTCTTCTCTTTCTTTGCTGTTTCCCTTTCAGTCATCAGCTACTGGTGCAGTACTTGGTGAGCAGGGCCAATTTTTAGCTTAATTCTCAGGTCCTAACACCACTTGGAAATATTCAGGCTGTCTGTGCTGTCAGGCCAGCTGATAGTCCATAGCCTCATTTGTCTCCTTACTCACTGTTTTCATTCAGGTTCTTCTAGTAGTTGGTTTTTAATCAACTTCTGTATCTTTCCATTCAAAGCTCAGGGTTCCTGGATTATCTTCTGTATCTGTGTCAATTGGTTTCTCTTTTCTTTGTTGAAGGAGGTCTGCGTAGCTTGTCTGCCTATTATGTCATCGTACCGGAAGTCCTAGAGTTGATTTTTTTTCTTAAATCTTGCTCTGTTATTTCAAGAAGTTGATTAACTTTCTGTGACCTTGGGCTCATTATTTAATCTCTTGTAAGCCTGTGCTCCCATTAAAAGAGATAATAATAATAATACTAACCTCAGTGAGAAAATTTAAGCCTCGAGTTGCAATAGAGAGAGATTCTATGGGCAAAATATTGAATGATGCAGGAAACATCAAGAGAAGATGGCAGGAATACACAGAGTCACTGTACCAAAAAGAACTGATGGATCTT